GGTTGTATACAGCTGACAGTTTAAATATTTCTGAACAGGTTTGGTGCCATACATGATATCCATATGAAAGAACATAACTCAAGTTTTCAGGTTGATGTTTTGGTTTCGTAGCAATTTGTGGTGTTGGGTGAAACTACTCCTAGCATAGCCTATTCTATATTCAATTTCTCTTTCTCCTATACTTGTTATAACTGATCCATATATTGAAGTATTGAGTATTTACTAATTTTAGATCTTGTTTTTTTTTTTTTTTTTTTTTTTTGATGATGGATTCCAGGTAGGTGCCATCACTGCTTTTATTCCAATTCCAGATCATAGTTTCTGTTATGAAATGGTTTATCTTAAATCATATTTCAAATAGAAGGTTCAGAAAGAAACTCTCAACAATACTGGAAAGAGTGATAATAACTACTGGACTTGAGAAACCTGTTTTCCTAAAGTGTTTTAAGATTTTATAAATTTCAACTGAAAACTGTATTGACTGCTCGGTCAGTGAATGTCAAATGTTTCCTTGTAGGTAAATGGCTAATATTACTGTAGTATAATACAAGAGCCTAGTCACTTTTTTTTTTTTTTTTTTTTTTTTTTTTTTTTAAAGGCTTTATTCACCTAACAAAGAATACAGAAAGTAAAAAAGAAATATATTAAAGTGGAACAATCCATCCAAGACAGAATAAGGGATTTAAATAATTCATTCTCCCTTCTCTATTTTATAAACATATTTTTTTTTGTTTTGTAACTCATGTAATGGAGAGGCTTTCAACACTGCACCAGTCCAGGGGTAGAATGTTCTATTTCAGGTTGGATCTCTCTTGATTCTGAGGGCACAAGACAAGGCAAAAAGTGACTAGTTTTGATCGCAGGCTCAGACAGTGGTGTGCGTCCAAACCACCAGGGTACTCAGAGATAGAAGACATGACTTCAGTTGAAGGGTTTTGGAACCAGTCTTCCCTGACAGGAGTTAAGTCATTTCTCATCAGTCAGCCAATCATACATTAAAAATTATTTTACTATAATGGATGGTGTATGTGTTGTTGGAAATGTTATAAAAGTAGCTGAAAGTCAATATATTCTTAATTACTAAACACAACCAATATATTGTGGCTGTGTTCAAAATTAATATCATTAAGAGTTGGTTTCTTTTTTTTTTTTTTTTTTTTTTTTGGCTTTCTTCACTAACAAAGAATGCGGAAAGTAAAAATGTTAAAATGTCTGGATGACATACAGATTATGTTTGCTTATAAATATATATCTCATGATTCCTTGGTGGAAAAAGAGGTCAATTTATGAATGGAACATAATATTTGAAGGTGTGGACAGATCAAGAAACAGGAAGTTATATTGTGTTGACGGAATTGAAAAACTGAACACAGCTGTAAGGTTGTCTGCCTGGTAACCTGAGGGTTGTGGAGATGTTATGATTTGGTCGGGGATACAATAAATCAGACCAAGCCTAGGGAAAATTGATTTGTTATGGAAAATCAATGATTAAAATAAGACAGCCCCTTCACTCAGTTTAAAATTAGAATTGTCAAGAAGACAGTTAAAATCTTTCCATGGGGATAGTCTCAGACAGAATACAGAGAGGAGAAAAGGGGAAAATTTACCTCCACCCATTTGGAAGTAATGGTGTGAGGTATGAAGAAGAGAAAGTATGAGTTATACGTGTGGGATGATGCCTGCAACTACTACTGTAGTGGGAAGCAATCTCCTAAAATTTGGAGAGATAATTAATTTTACAAGCCAGAAAACAAAGCTGTTGTTGGAAGACAGGGAAACCCTGAATCGCCAGACACCATCAGGCCACAGGTCAGTCTAGGGTTGAAGTCAACATAAGCAGAGGGCTTTGAGCAAATGAGTGAGAGTTGGAGCAGCAAGCGGAAGAGCTGAGATGCAGATGAAACCAGACAGCAGGAGCAGTTGAAACCCACATGACCTGGTGAAGAGATTCCCCAACTCAAGCCTTGTTCCAGAATTAACACTGAAAAACATTGTAGAGAATTGCATTGGGAATGGTTAATTTTGTACACTGAAAAACTATAAAACCAAATAAAAAAAATTAACCAAAGTCTCTGCATGATTTTTGCCAAAAGACATTCCTTTATTTTATTTTATTTTTTTATTTTTATTTATTTATTTTTTTTCAACATAGCCAGTTCGCTGAGATTTGACTCAACCTGTTGATCTCTGCTGTAATGGATTCCATCAACCCTGTGATCAAAAACACAACATGGGCAGGGCACAGTGCAGCAATCAACATCAGTTGAACTATGATGTTGACTGCATGGTGTGGAATTGACCGATAAGGTCAAATCCAGAGTTGGCCCCTGGCTCAATGGGTTATATATAAACTTTTTTGTTTTGTTTTGTAGCCCATGTAACAGAAAGACTTTCAACACTCTGGAGTATACCACTGCACTTGTCCAGGGGTAGAATATTCTATTTCAGCTTGGGTCTCTCTAGACTCTCAGGGCACAAAGAAGTGACTAGTTTAAATCACAGACAGCCAATGGCATGGACAGCAAATCACCAGAATATTCAGAGATAAGGGTTCATTAGAACCTGAATCCAACTTCAGTTGAATGGTTTTGAAGCTGATCTTCCCCTGACAAGAGTTTAAGTCACAAAGACAGTTGCTTCTTATCTGTCAGCCAATTGTATTTGAGGGTACTGAGGATTAGCCTCAATTAAATCTGGTTCATCCACCAGTGGGTCATAATTACTATTCTGGACATGGCAGTGCAATAAAACAGGACCAGGGCTGGTTAGGCAAGTGGGTAATGAATGTTCACTGGGGAATCTGTGTTGATATTGGAATAGTCTCTGATGGGGAGTGACATTGGTGACATTGTATAGCATTGACCTGATTGAATGATTTACTTCAGATAATACCATTTCTCACTGAGATCTCAAGATTTCTGAGATCTAATGCCAGGATAATGGCTTTCCATATTAGTCTGTTACATTGTCCATTTCCTTGTGGATTATAGGGAGTTGTCCAGATATTTGCTATAATAAGATTCAGGTATTCTTTCATCTCTCTAGATTGAAATAAGAGTCCATGGTCTGAACAGATGTAAGAAGGGGTCCCAAGCACCATGAAAATCTGGTTCAGGCACTTCATAACAAGGCCAGTGGTCAAATCTGGACAGGCAGTATTTGTCCACAATAGTCAGCAGATAATGCTACTTAGAGGAGGGAAGTGGCCCTTTGAAGTCTATGCTAAGTTGCTCCATAGGTTGAGTAGCTTTAATGAGGGTGTTAGGATCTGGAGATTAAAAGCTAGGCTTCAAGCAAGCACACTCGGGGCACTCTTGACATACATTTTGTATTTCTTCAATGGATTACAGCAAATTTCTTATTTTGATGAAATAGTCAAACCTTGTTGCATCAGGATGACAAAGTCAAACATATAGCACCCACAATTTCTTATCACCAATAATGGCTCCACAGTAAGTACTAGAGAGTATGTCAGTAAGAATATTGTTGGACAGTTTTACATTAGAGTAAGTCTTGTTACCCACCAGTAGGTCAATTGAGCAAGTGCCTCTGATTTTAGAAGAGTGATGAAAAAGCCATGCTAACAATTCCAGTTGTAGGAGAGATGGGGAGCCCAAGTCATTGTATGATACAGTGATTTATGAAGCTTTCAGTACTCCCCCCATATCTATCAAGACCTTGACTGGAATATTATTAATCCAAATGTCCATAATGACCTGTGATACAAATGTGGCCCTGGTTATCAAAGCCATTTTTAAGTGGCTGTCGATTGGGTAGATTTACATGTTTTAGTGTAGTGGCCCTTTTTACAGTATCTATTAAGTAGAGTTTTCCTTGCATGACTCTTAGCTTTGGGATGATATTTGAGTCCACAGAAGTAGCAGTATTTGCTACTAACAGCTACAACATTGTTGCTTTCATTTAGAGGATGGTCATTAATAGAAGCATTTACAGTAGTTGGTTCTATATAGGATAAGTATTGTTTGGTAGCCTGGTTGTATGCAGTGTTTAAGTCTTGTGACCAATTCTTGAGGAGTTTTGTCCATATATTAGTAGACAGTAACCTGCTTGTGAAGGTGTCCCAGATATATTTATCACGACAACAAAGAAAATTCTTTGATGTCAAGAACATAGGAAAGGATTTATAAACACAATTTTGTTATCGAAGGATTTATTGTATTGAATAAGTGACTGACCACCAATACCTTTGTTTGAAGGTCAGTATCAGTTCTCCAAAACTGGTAAGATAATGAATCTTCAGCTGTGGTAGGAGTTGGGTGAAATACATATAAATGGGTGCTTAGGTGACCCAGAAACCAGAAGCCAGAAGAAGTTGCATGACCTGTTGCCAAGAGAATAACCAGCCTTTTTTTTTTTTTTTTTTTTTAAATCAGCTCCAAGTTTTAGAAGAAAAAGACAAGTGTCATGATAGAGATTTTTATAGGAAGGGTCAATTTTGTTGTATTAAGAACTATATAAACCAATTGAAAACTAACCTGGTGATTTTCTTAGTTATTTTGTTATGCAAGTTTTTTTTGGGGGGGAGGGGCCTTTTTGAGCACAGTTTCAATGTGGTCCAACCCAGCACTTTAGTTCAGATAAAATTCAATCTTCACTTCTCTGTGATCAAGGAACACAATGTGGGTCAGAAGCAGATGAAGGAATGAAGTAGCAAGCAGGTAACCATCCATTGATTGATGGCAGTACTGACCAGAGTGGGAAGAACTTAGTATTGAGCTGAGCCAGCCATGTTATTTATTAAAAGCTTTATTCACCTAACAAAGAATACAGAAAGTAAAAAGAAATATATTAAAGTGGAACGGTCCATCTGAGACAGAATTGGGGGTTTTAAATAGTTCAGTTACCATTTACTATTGTAATTAATATCATATGTTCTAGTACCTCTATAGGAGGACAATGTTGGCACTGTGTTTCTGATATCTTCACATGCACGTTTCTAAGACGTCTTTTGATTTTGCTAATATCATTGTTCATTTCAGATAATCCAACTCAGATGGTGATCACCTGGGTGACACTCTGGCCAACCAATTCGACTGTGGTTGAATATGGAATTAGCAGACTGGATACAGAGACCCAAGGAAAAGAGACTCTCTTCATTGATGGAGGAAGTGAAAAACGACATATTTATATGCATCGTGTGAAATTGACCAGTTTGATACCAGGACAGAAATATTGTAAGTCTTTTCACTTTTAATTCCAACTCTAGTCCTCTTTCTCCCATGGATGTAAAATTCCAACTCCAAATTTTGTACTACCAATTCCTTCATAAATTTAAAAAAAAAAAAAAAAAGAATGAATAAATAAATATGGGTACCTCCATAAAAAAAAGCAATACCTAAGTCTTAAAATGCATTTTAAAAATGAAAAATCTTTCTTGAAGCTTTTATTTAAGTTTCAATTGCAAGCTAATAGATTAAATTTAATATTTTCAATAATCAAAATACTTTGCTGTATTTCAAATTTGAATTTACATTGATTGGAATGAGTTTTTTTTTTTTTTTTCCTGACTATCAGTAAAACTAATAGTCATTTATATTGACAAATCTGTCAACACAATATAATTCTCTTTATTAAAAAATCATTAAAAAATAAAATCTAATTGTCTGAAACTTTACAAGATTAGCTGATTTAAAATTTGATTAATCTGAATTGAAACAAATATTTTTTACTTCTTTTAACATGGAGATGGGTATTTTCATGAGGTGTTGACACATTTATCAACAATCTAATGTTTGGGAAATTTATCTAAGGATGTAACTGTTCTAAAATTACATCATGAATACAACATAAATGCTTTTTAAATATATATTTTTTTAACTACCTAGTAATCTTTAAAATTTAAAATATTCTAAGCATTCTAATATTGAATTTCAGGTACTTTGCATTATGAAGACACTTGTTGAGGAGGTATTAGAAAATTACCAATAAATTTACTATAGTTACTGCATATTTTTTGATAATGCTATGTATGGATATTCCAATTTAAAAAAATTGGCACATTTATGCACAAACAAAAAAGGGATTCAAAATACTATTTAAAATACTAGGAGTCACTGAATTGTAATAAACTTCTCCATTAATCATTAGTTTTTATTTTATAACAATATCATTTGACCAATACAAATTAGCACAGAATTTTAAGACTTAAAACTTTATAAATTGTAATTTTAAAAACGAAAATAATTTTTGTAAAAATTCATCATTTATTGAAAAAAACTTTTCATAACATGTGTCCATATATTTTATCTATAACAACAGTTAAAAGCTTTTTAATTAATGTCTTAGTTTTATTGATTTTTTTTTTTTTTGATTTTTTTATTTTATGATTCAAAGCAGATTTTCTGTAACTGAGGGTCCTGTTTTACAAAAAAGAATTGATAATTTAAAGACTAATATGAACATTAAGCTCTACAAAAAAGAATTTCCTAAAATTAAATATGTGAGAGGTAACTTATGTAAAAAAAAAAAAAAAACAAAAAATAATTTTTTACCACGATTTTAAAGAAAACAAAACACCTTTCAAAAGTATTTTCATTCATTTGTGAATAAATCCTGAAAGTTTCATTAAAATCCAACAATTATCTGATTTTTACAAGAATTTCCAAATCAATGTTTTTTTTTTTTTTTTTTTTGTTTTTTTTCACCACAAAAGGATGCTCAAATTTTCCATACTAATTTCATGGTTCTTCAGAAAAACAAGATTTTTACCCAAAATTTTCAAGTTTCTAAAAAGGATTAAAAAAAAAAATATATATATATATATATATATATATATATATATATATATATGAGACAAGCTTGCTAACCATTACACCACATCGAAATACCCTATTATAATATATGATGAAACAGACTAAATTTCCACAATATATCCTTATAAAATAGTGGTGAGGGGTATCTTATGAGTGATGCGAAGGTAAAAAATGGTAGTTTTTTTCTTACTCATCTCCCTAGTTTCATGTCAAAACAAATAAAGGAAAAGCATTATGTTACTTGAAACAATTTCTTTTTCACTATATCTGTTTTATATTTTCACTCTGTTAAATGATAATCATGTCTCATTAAGCATTGGCATTTCTATTAACACCTGGGATATTAATTATTTATTGTTTTTACAATAATATTCCCCCTGTACAAGAGCCACTCGATGTAGAGGGTTACAAACTAAGTCATATATACATATATATATTGCATCTTTTCTCATTTAGACCTTTCTGAGTTGTTAATATTTTACCAAAATTTTGCAATAAAGTTCAAATAAGATATCTTTTTATACTTTCAGTTTACCATTGTGGTGGTGAGAAAGGTTGGAGTGCACTCTACTTTTTTGCTGCTATGAAGAGTGGTCAGAGCTGGAGTCCTCGACTGGCTGTTTATGGTGATATGGGAAACATTAAAGGTCGTTCTATTCCCCGTCTTCAAGAATGGGCACAGAAAGGAAAATTTGATGCTGTCCTTCATGTTGGTATGTACTGAAATTTTTTTTTTTTTTTTTTTTTTTTATAGTATCTGTCTATATTTCTTAGATGAGGTATTATGTACACTATTTACATTATTCAAACTATTGTCCTCATCTTTGTTGCCATATTTATCACAACGTTTTGGCTGTTGTAGACTCCGGCCTTCTTCAGGACATTCCAACCACCTGAAGAAGGCCAGAGCATACCATGGCCAAAATGTTGTGATAAATATGACAACAAAGATAAGGACAATAGTCTGAATAATGTAAATAGTGTTACTAAGGTTTACTTTACAATAATGTTCACTTGGTACCTGACCCAAGAGCCACTCCAGGCAGAAGGCTACAAAGCAAGAGATAAGAAACGCAGTTTATAAGGATATGTAAGGAAGATAATGGTTAACCCTAAATTTTGAACAGGTTAAGATTATAATGATCAGAGAAATAACCTCTTGGAAGTCAGTTCCACAAAGCAGCATTTCATAGGAAGAAGCTGTTGGAGTGGATCTTACATTTCACCAGTGGAATACATCAGTCATTTCTTGCCAGTGGAATACGTCCATCATTTCTTACCAGTCTTAATCATGTTTGAGTTGCTTGTCTGTTTCTTCCACTGAATCATAGTATCTGACTTTTCAGCATTAGTAGACCCAGGGATTGAACTTAAAACTGCCATTGATTGAGGATGTGTGCATAGCATGGAAAATGGGATTTGTGTTCAAATTCCAGCTAAGGCCATTGTGTTCATGTTCACACAAATACCCTTGGAAAGGCTTGAATCCATCTCTTCTCCCCTCAGCGATAGGTTAGTAGAGTAGACTGTTTGATTGGTAACCAGTCTAGTAAAAGAACAACTTTTGAATTTAAAACTAGTTGGGTGTGGGGCTAACAACTCCACCTTGAAAGAAAAACAAAAAAAAACTAATTGCTATAGAAACCGTAGCAGAAACATAAAGCTGTAGCCCAATACTCAACAAGGGAATCTATAAGAAGTATATACATACATTTAAAGAATTAATGGCATTATTTTAAATCCAACATTTTTATTACTTAACATTTAGTACTCTGCATTACTAATTTTTTTTTTTTTTTTTTTTTTTTTCAAGGCTTCTCATTTCTAGTATCTTTTATTGTTAATTTCACTTAGTTTTTTTTCTGTTGCCATGGGCAGGATATGACAGCACAACTATGAATTTCAAACACACTGTTGTTCAGGGATGAGTCACCTTAAGTGACAGGATAATCTTTTTGTACAGAAAATGAAATCACATACAGAATGATAAAGGTTATTTTTAGCAGATCAGTTAAGTGCTGTACGTGATAGACATTTGGGCAATCATGTCTCTTTCAATTTATGACTGACTAGACAGAAGATTTTTCCACAGTAGGCTGCATTTCTTCCTAATGTAGATTGTTTGTCAACCAAGTCTGTCCTACTATCTGGGAGAAGAAGAGATGGATTCTTACCCTTTCCCAAGGGTATCTGCACATAAGTGAATATACCAAATCTGACTGGAATTCTGACCTGGCTCTTCAATTTCTCATGCCAAGCCATTATCCATTACATCACACTGCACATTTTAGTAGATACAGTGTCTTAAGTAGACACTCAGTAGTTTTTTTAAATAGTGTGTATAACATCTACCAGCCTATGCACTCAAGAAAAATTAATAAAGAAAATGTGCTCTCCAGCAGAGTTCAAGCATGTGTCCTCCTTTATAGGAAAAACCACTATCTGTGGCAGAGCGCTCTAAAGCATGCCAGATCAAATAGTGGTTTCTCCTACAAAGGGAAATACAGGTTCAAACCCTGGTTGAGAGCCCATTTTCACAGTGTAGAAGGGTCAGTTGAGCACTGTCTGTGAGAAAAAGAGCATGATGATGCAGTTCACTCTACCAGAAATTTGGAAATGGCATGCTGTACTGTTTGGCATTCGTGGTGGAAGCTCTAATATGAACATTTCAGTGTTTGGGTGTCAATCTGAGGATAGTGTTGGATTCAGAAAGAGTTGGATGAGTCTAATGGTGATTACAAAGATATGGCTCGGAAAACTCCCTCTGATAAAAGAACTCCTGAATTTGTTGGTGAGGGTCTCAAACTAAAAACAGAGGCCTACATCAAGTGCCTTGAGGAAGTAGTGCTGTCCTCGGTCAAGAGGGTAGCTGCTGGAAGATCCTATGTCTGGCAACAGGACTCTGCACCATGCCACACAAGTAGAAGAACCCAGTCATGGGTGTCTGACAATTTCTGCAACCACATCACCCCTTACATTTGGCCATCTGACTCCCCTGACTGCAATGCACCTGTGTGTGTGTGTGTGTGTGTAATATATACTAGCTTTAAGCTCGCTCTTGTGGAGTGTTCTTAATTGGACCTTCATCACAATAGATAGGGAGGAGTAAATGCAATAGGCAACAATAAACTACAGAAAAAGTATGACACGCTGATATTCACATTTACTATATAGAAATATATTTTTAAATATTTATTTTTTTATTTTAGAACAATAAAAAACCTAGGCATGAATTTCAAATGCAAGTATCCACTAAAAATAATGTTTGAAGTCATAAAAAATTACATGCATATATAATACATAAAATATTGACTAAAATGTGGCTGATTCTGTGGCAGTTCAATTTCCTGATTCACCATTTCACTCTAGGTTAATATGAAAATACAAAATAAGATATAAAATAGCCGATCTGTTTTGCATCTAAAATATTATATGCTGTTCTTCTTTTTATATAAATCCACAAAATGTGCTTAAATTATAAGTCGATTTTTTTTTTTTTTTTTTTTTTCCAATGAAACTGTTGTCATATTTTTCTTATTTCTCCATTTTCTTTTTACAGGTGATTTGGCCTACAATTTGGATACAGTAAGTATTTCACTGTACATTGTTTGTTTCTTCATTTATAAATTATCTGTAGAGTTTTTTAATAAAGTTTTTTTTACTACTGACAAAATGTAAAATATATAATCTGAGTATGTGTGCACACACACAATTAATAAAAGTAAAAGTTTGTCACTTAGCTGATTGATATTACCTTCAGCATCCCAATTCCAGAGTTTCATAGACAGATCCATCTTTTCTTAGACACAGTAGTGTAATGGATAGTGGCTCAGATTGAGGAATCAGAGAGCTGGGTTCAAGTTCATTACATTCATGTATGTGCTAATACCATTGAGAAAGGTATGAATCCATCTCTTCTTCCCCCAGCTATGGGTAAAATAGCAAGATATACTGGATCCTATAACTTTGGGTGGCAACCAGTCTAGGAGAGGGAAACTCTGAATTTAAACTGAATTGCACTATCATAAAAGTGTGGAAAGATGTGACTAGAGACCACTTGTGAATCCAAATTCCCATTGGAAGTCTTATTAGCACATCCTCGGATGCATTGTTAAAAGGAGCCCAATGTTTCATAGGGAATGAGAGGAACTAACTTATATAATGTGTGTGTATATGAGATATATAATGATATATTTTTATATATCAAAAACAATAGTGGGGAAAATGTACAACAAAGTGGAAAAAGTTTACTTGTGACATGTTTTGTCCTTCAGAACTTCATCAAACTAAATATGGTACATAGTTATGACTACAGATGCACATAACGAGGGGTGCTGGGGATTTCGGAATTTAAAGAATTTTTTTTATCTAGCTGAATTCATTTAGTCTTTTTCTTTTCATTTCCATCATTTTTGTAAGTAGGCATTCTACACTGTGACAATAAAAAATCTGCCAGGGATGGTGAAATGTTCTAAGAGCCAGGGCACAAATTTACTGTAGATGACATTGCAATCGAAGCACTCTCCAGACATTGTAGTGAATTGTTTTCTCCTTTGATCAGAGTAGAATTTTTTATGTCAAAATTGTGGTCAGTCTCATTACATTGTGTGACCAACACATTTGCCGTATTGTTTTGTAAAATGTCCCTTTTATGTTCATGTAATCTTTTATTTAGATTCTTTGAGGTTTCTCCTATGTATTTTTTGTGATAATTATTACAGGTAATGGAGTAAATTCCTCTTTCAGGTTTTAGCTTTTTTGTTTTGTTTAGTATTGACTTTTTATTGTTTTGGATGTAGTAGTAGTAGTAGTAGTAATAATTCATTGTCTCAGAAATTCAGACAAAATCATTTATGCCCTTTTTTTTTTTTTTAGGACAATGCCCGAATGGGGGATGAATTTATGCGACAAATTGAGCCGATTGCTGCCTATGTTCCTTATATGGTGTCTCCAGGCAACCATGAAGAAAAATAGTAAGTTCTGTTTATTATTTGTAAATTGCCATGGGTTCTTGGGAGATAGTGGTCTGTTCAGAAGATATGCGATCGTGGCCCTCCACAGATCCTTTTTTTTTTTTTATATGTAAATTGCCATGACTTCTTGGGAAAGATAGTAGAGTTGTCCCTTTAGGGTACAGATGATCATGGCTCTCCACAAATTCTTCTTTCATTATTATCTGTGAATTACCATAACTTCTTGGGAAAGACTGAGTTGTTCATCATTAGTAAAGAAAATGGATTTAGTATGAAAATTCAAGACAAATAAAATCCTAGGAAAGGAAGGATTTTAATATAATTTAAACAATATCTCTTGGATTGAAAAACTTATCTATGTTTGGTGATAATTTTTTTATTAAGACTTGCTGCAAAAATTATTTAGCAAGCAGTTTCATTTTGGAGATATTAAAATTAGCAAGACATTTCTTGCCCCAGTTAACCATTGCAAATGATCTGTCTGCTTGCTAACCTGCTATTTAACCTATAACTAGGGAGGGAAGAGATTGATTCATGCCTTTCTCAAGGGTATTTGTGTGAAAGTAAATGAATATGTACTTATCAATTCTTAATTTGTCTTTTCTCTTTCATTTCAGCAATTTCTCAAACTACAAAAGTAGATTCTCGATGCCGCAAAATGGCGATGGAGAAAACATGTATTACAGGTATGTACCACTTCATTGCTTATGTGTAGATGTTTATAAGATGGATTTTTGTTCTTTTGTCTTATTTAAAAGCATTAAAATAAAGCATCAATGTTATTCCATAAATTATTTATGGGGTGGGGTACTGATAAAAATTTCCACCTGACAAAGAAAGGATTCAAAACAATTTCTGAACACTTTCCATGGAAATAGCAATAGGATAGAGAGGCAAGCAATGTTTCATTTGACAGGGGTTGTAGGATGTAAAAAACATTTGTCACCTACAAGGATGTAGAGATGCTTTTGGGTCCAATCAAGATTGGAAAATGAAGACTGGGTAGCTCCTGCCTATATATGGTAGCAGTACTCTGTTTTCAGTCTGATTTGGCTTTTGTAAAGGTAGAGGATAGCAGGAGGACTCAGGTACTTACTGGAGTAACCAACCATTTTTCCAGCATCTTTAGTGATGGATTGTATGTATAAGTTCCACTCGAGGTCTAGGTTGATTTTAAATCACAATAGGCGCTCAAGGCACAGGACCTCCTTGAGGGAACATCCCTTAAGAAACATTTGTTTATTACTGTATCTAGGTCTTAATTTCTCAAACTACAAAAGTAGATTCTGCAAAATGGCAATGGAGAAAACATGTATTACAGCTATGTACCACTTCGTTACTTATGTGTAGATGTTTATAAGATGGATTTTTGTTGTTCTTTTGTCTTATTTAAAAGCATTAAAATAAAGCATCAATGTTATTCCATAAATTATTTATGGGGTGGGATACTGATAAATTTCCACCTGACAAAGAAAGGATTCAAAACAATTTCTGAAAAGTGGAGCAAGAACTTTTTAGCACTTCCTTGTATAGTCCTCTTTCTTATTTTTTCTTGGTGTACCCTGGAGAAAAAGATCATTTAGGGTAAAATATTGTAATAAAACCAGCAATGTTGACTCTATAAGTCACATTCATTATTTAAGCTACATTAAGAGAATCTCTTTTTACAAATGAAACGTCTCTGAATTCTGAGTCATTTAGATCAAAGACTTCAAAGAACTCTTTAATGTGGTCAGACGATTTGCCAAAGTCGTGGGTGGGGTCTTTATCTGGGTTTTCATTGGCTGGCACCAAAACTTAAGCAAGTTGGCTGGCTGAGTTCAGTTATTGTGGAAATCTGGTTTGGAGCTGTTTGCTGACTGTTCATGGGACATGTAACAATACCAAAAAACCAACAACTCCCAACTGTAGTTACTTTGAAGTAATCTTCTAACTGGTAAGCCTATTTTTCCCATTGACCAAAACATTCAAATTAAAGATTTCTTTTTGTTTATTATAAAGGAACTTAGTTGGTCTTTTGTCCCTTCCTTTTTCTTTATTTCTCTTGTTTCATACATGACAACATGTGGTGCTGCTGCTGCTACTACTACTATTACTATTATTATTATTATTATTATACTACTTTATTCAAACAAGTATCGTCAAATGCATGGTTGCCATCAAAAGTAACAACCCAACATGCAAATTGAAAATGCCAAAATCCAACAAGTACAATTTAAATGTCTGGGAATTATTTTAACAGAGGAACATTGAAATCTGGAGCTGCATTGAGATAGCGAAAGATGCCTTTCAAAAGCTAATCGAAATATTAAACAGGAAAATGTTATTATAAACAAAGAAAAGGTTACTGAACTGTTACATAATATCAGTTCTCCTATATGGCTGTGAATGTTAGACAATCTCACCACAGAGGAAGAAAAGACTTGAAGCAACAGAAATATAGTTCTACAGAAGGATGCTGAGAATACCATGGACTGAACATGTGAATAATAACAAAGTTTTAGAGAAAATGGAAACAAAAACAAAATGTATAATTTTTTACTGAATTTGATAAGTAAAAATTGTATAAGATTACAAAAAAGCTACTCAATGAATAAGATTTATTAAATCATTTGTTAGATAATAATTAATAAAAACCAAAAATAGATAAAAGTGTATATAACACCTGTAATACTACTGGGCACATATAAAACAAAATGTTTTTAAATTTGCATTGTTTATTGAAAATCACACTAAAACTACTGCACTGTATAACCTTATAATATAGCTAAATTGTTCAGTAGAATTTCCCTTTGAAGGATTTGGTAATAATGTGCTTGTGCCATGTATCTTGTCCATATACAATTTGTAAAACTTGAGTAAATTATGAATTTTGAAAGTCTGAGCTATAAGGCTTTCACTGATTACCAGAATAAAATTCTAACTATGATTTTGAACCTAAATTTAATCTTTACTCTATTCCTCAAAAAACAGTAGCAATTTGGAAAAAAAAAAAAAAAAAAAAAAAAATTTTTTTTGTCATTATTTATCAACTTTTAAACTTAGTGCAAGACTACAGTTCCAAAATCGACAGTACTTAGTGGACATATGTAAAATTTATTTGAGGAATATAACATGAGTGCCTTTTTCAAATAATTTTTAACTACCCATTAATTTTTAAAATGTAGGAAAATATTCTCAGTAATCTCGTGTTTTATTGAATTTTCGGTATGTTAGCTTTAAATTTACTATAATCATCATTCTTATTTTCTGATAATGTTGCGTATGGATGTCCATATTTACAAAAATTGGCACATTTATGCACACAAAAAGAAATTTCAAAATTCTTTTTAAAATATTGGTGGACAATGAATTGTACTAAGTTTTCCTGTTAATGATAAGTAAATATAGTTTTTACTTACTAAAAGTATCACCTAAATAGGATAAAGTAATACAGAAATTTAAGATTTAAAACTTTCTAAATTATTCTAATTAAAGTTTTTAAAAAATAAAAACCATTCTTGTAAAAATTCATTATTCATTGAAAAATTTTTTCTTAAGACAATGGTGTCTATAATAACTTATTCATAAAAGCAATTAAGTTTTTCTGATTAAATAATGTCTTAGTTTTATTGCCTTTTTTATTTTATGATTCAGTTACAAAAAGAAATTAAGGATTTAAATTCTCCAAGGACTTCTGCTTTTAACTAATACAAACATTAAGCGGTACAAAATTTAATTAAAATTTAATAAAATTAAACAAGTCTGGGTAACGGATGTATAAAAAAAAAAAAAAATGAAAAACCCATATTTCTAAAATAATTTCATTCATTTGTGAATAAGTCCTGAACATTTAATTAAAATCTGACAATTATTTGATTTTTTTTTTTTGCAAGAATTTCGAAATTAATGTATTTTTCACCACAAAAAAAACTGTAAAATTTCCTATACTAATCTTTGGTCCCTCCCACCCCACAAACAAAAAAATAAAAAAAAAATGAATTTTTAACCAATATTTTTAATGTTCTATAAAGGAACAAAATTAATTAATAAAAAAATCCTTTGATCCTTCCTCTTAATAATAACAAAGATTTTGATGATAAAATTTTGCTTTTATTAAATTTGAGGCATTTTTTTTCATCATGATATGCTTATTTTTTTATTGAATCAGTAGAGGTACATAAAAAAACACACACACACACACGTGTGTGTGTGTGTATATATATATATATATATATATATATATATATATATATATATATATATATATATAAAATAAAAAAAGAACAAACAAACAAGACAATCCTTAAATATCCATTTAGTTATAATTTATTTCTTGAATATATTTAAATATTCATCTCCTTAGACAAGGAGTTTTTTAGAAATGAAATCGATTTTTTGTCATCTTTGAAATTATCCCTAAATTGATTTCATTTCTAAAAAAAACAAAAAAAACCCCTCAGTCTCAAGAGATGAATATTTAAATAAATATATTCATGAAATAAATTATAAATGAAATGGATTTTTAAGGATTGTCTTTACTTAATATTATATTGCTCTGTTACTTACATTGAGCTCCCTTTGGATTAATGTCCACCTTGGAATTATCCCTACCAATTTGTATTTTGTGTGTGTGTGTGTACATATATATATATAATCATTCACATAATTTTATTTCTTCTTTTCAGTTTTGATATTGGTCCAGTACACGTGATTAGTTTCTCTTCTGAAGTCTATTACTTTTATATTGATTACCGCTACATTGACAAAATGTATGACTGGTTAAAACGAGACTTGGAGGTTGCCAATCAGCCTGAAAACCGTGCAGTGAGACCCTGGATTATTGCTTTGGCACACAAACCAATGTACTGCACAAATTCTGATGATCAACCAATCTGCTTTAATAAGTACAACCCTGTAAGTATGCATAAGAATATGACTTTGTTGACTGAACTAGTAAGTCTACTTTGCACTTTTAGTAGGATATCAGGTGTTTAGATAGGGTGCCAATTTAGTACCTTGCTATGAGTGCCAATTTTCATAGATACACTTCTCCCTGGATGCAAAAATTAAAAACATTTCCAGTTTACAATAGTTAAATTTCAATATTATAAAAAGCTTATTGAAAATATTATTTGTAAGATAAAGTTTGATAGTGAATCAAAAGAATATGCCTTTATTTCCTCTTGTTTAATTAAAGCTTTCGGATACAAGAAATCTGTTTAAAAATACTTTGATTAGGCATTTAGGACTTTAATTTCTTTATCACAAAATTTAAAACGGAAAACATGTCCCAATTCTGACTGGTTTATAAAATGAAATATTTTTAAAAATTAAAAATATTATCTTACTTATAAAACACAGATTGTGTGTGTCTGTTCGTTTATATATTGGATCGGATTTCCTACATTTTTTGACCGATTTCAACAAAACTTCACAGGACTACATAAAATTACCTTGCGATGGTTCTGACAGCACCAAAAATTGGAAAAACACAATTGTTTTTGCACAAAATCAATTTGAAAACACGATTAAGAGGCATTAATGAAAGGGGGACAACTCATATCGAGTTATACTTATTAATATCGAGTTATACTTATTATAAAACCCAGGTTGGTTGTGTGTGTGTGTTCATTTATATATGGGATTGGATTTCCTACATTTTTCAACCGATTTCAACAAAACTTCACTTTTTTTTGGCAGGTAGTGTTTCTTATTGTCTTGCACACTTTTTTCTTTATTTTTACATTCAGAATGCTTTAAAAATTCTATTTACAAGAGAATTGTTTATAATAAAATTCTATTCAATTGGTAGACTCATAACAATTGAAAACAATGTTTTTGTTTGGGTTTGACCAATTCGTAAAAAAAAAAAAAAAAAAAACTAATTAAGACATGCGTGTCCGTCAACCTTAAACAATATTCTTTGTCACTTTTATTTTTCACTCTTTATGATGGTCGATGCTTGATCTATCTCTTACTGTTACATCCCCGGGCAACGCCGGGCTCTACTGCTAGTTTGTAATATAAAGTTTAAAATTATTAAAAATCATTACTTTTCTATTAATGGCTTATATCACACTGAAACACTAGTTCTCATACAATCACTGAAGTTAAGCAACATCAAGCCAAGTCAAAACCTAGATGTGTGACCACTGGGGAATACCAGGAGCTGTAAGTTTGGATGTGCAGATGTTGTAATGGATAACAGCTCACAATTGGAAATTGGAGACCCAAGTTTCAATTCTAGTTGGGGTTTGTTATATTCACTTACATGCAAATATCATTGGGAAAAATATGTTTCCACCTCTCTCAGCTATGGGTTAATTAGTAGAACATGTATCAGTAAATCATTATCTTCAAAAAATTATTATAATCTAAAAATGTTTTCTGGCATGGATTAGCTTACAAGGGATTGATAAGCTGTAAAAAAAAAAAAAAAAAAAAAAAGGAAAAAAAAAAGCAAACAAAAAACAAATCAATTTTGTTGACATAGGATCAATAAGCATCTGATGAAGGCTGGAGAGCATAATAGTTGAAACATTGTGATAACAATAACAAAGATAAGGACAATAATCCAAGTATAAGTAATGTAAATGATAACTTTCAAAATGACAGAGAATTAAACTGAAATTACTTTTCTAATCTTTTTAGGTTAGAGTTGGATCTTCCCTGCAAGTTGGAAGAGGGCTTGAAGATTTGTTTTGCAATTATGGTGTGGATATCTATTTTGCTGGTCATGAGCATTCTTATGAGAGACTGCTACCTCTATATGACTTTATGGTAAGTAAAATATTTTCAAGGCTTGCATCTTATACACCCACTTCTTGCTTAATGATTTAACCTGTTTAATGATCGCGTCCTGGGTAAGACAATAAACTACATCCAACAGCAAGGCCTCTGATCAGGAGGTTTTGAGGAGTGTGGAACCACCTCTTAATTGCTGGTGTTCCTAGATCCACCCTGACCCAGGGTGGTAGAACCTGTTAGGGTCCCAGCTCTGGGCAAATAGTTGACACCCAAATTTGTGTAAAAATAGGTTTTAATTACAGAAATACTTTGTTATAAAAAAATTATTACCAGCAATAATTTTTGAAGGAAAAATTATTATCAGCAATACTTTAAAAAACAAAAGTACCAGTAATACAAACAGCTATACATTCTTTGAAAAAATAAAATGGAGAATGGAACTCAGAATACAAAATAGTGTGAACAAAATATTACCAAGTGAGTAATTTAAAAAAAAACAAAAAAAAAACAACTTTTTATGAAAATAAAACCATCCAAGATTGTAAATTTCCTTAAAGAAGTTGGATTGTACTCAAAAATATGAGTAATTGAAAAATGGTTCAAATATATATGCATACATACACACCTTTTTTTTTTTTTTTTTTTTTTACCAAACTATCGCTATGAATCTATTTAAAAAATTTTGTTAGCATTAAATGACCCATCAAAGTTGAGTTGATATGCCATAAAAGAACCAATCAACCAACTTAGAAAGAGTTACTGAATGAGGAATAACCAAAACAGAGGTTGGAAATGAAATGATAATATTTATAACATCAACAAAGTATAATACTCGCCAGCAGCGTCAGGTAGGTAAACCACTGCTAGTGGTGGTCTACTTAGACATCATATTACCCCCAATTACAATAGTGTCCAACGTATTTATGAGGATTGGGACATACCTATTAGTGTTCATAGGTACAGTATATAACACAAACCTATTACATGTGTAGTATGCCTGAAATACTGCTAAGTTCTAAGATTATGTTAATTAGAAAGACCCATGAAAATTTCATGGTTTTCCTATTTGAAATTTCTGATGAATCTTAATTTAAAGATCAAATAAGCTTATGGTAAGTTCTACGACAATAAAATATCTGTAGAAATTCCCCTATCATATTGTTAAATATTTGAGCTTAACAACTTTAACAAATTATTGCAATAATAATCATAAATATGAATGCTGGTCATTATTTTAAGAAGTAAGGGGGTACAAATGAAAAGATTTGAAATTGACAACTTTTTCCATTTCACTTAAACAGACATTAAACACTTCTATCTTTCATTCATTTTCTTACTGAAACCAAGCAGTGTCTCTGTGTTTCGTTTTTCTATGCAATCAAAATGGAATAGTCTGTTATTTATGAGATGTTGACTCCTAAAATCCCACTACATTTGTATATTTTAATAGTTGCACCTTGACATTATCACCTTGCTTTGGGTGAAATGATCCAAAAAAAATGTATATACAATTGCTCTCAATTTCATTAACCACAGGAAGATGTTGTGTCCATAAAAAATAAAATAAAAAAAAGAATTAATTATAGTGTCAAAAATAATTACAACAATTATAATTATCATTAATTCACTCTTCCAACAAAAAATCTTGGCTCTTTTCCTTTTTTCAGGTCATAATAGTAACATTTATCTCTTAGAACTCAACAGAATTCAATAAAATATCCCCCCTCCACACCTCAATACATTTTGGTTTGTTTTTGGGCATATCAACCTCAATGGGTTATTTAATGCTGACAAAATTTTTATTGCTGGTAATTTTTTTTTTTTTTTTTTTTAAATGTATTGACGTTATATATATATATATATATATATATATATATATATATATATATATATATATATATATATATTTTTTTTTTTTTTTTTTTTTTTTTTTTTTTGTTTTAATGTATTGCTGGTAATAATTTTTTTTCTTCAAAAATTTATTGCTGATAATAAATTTTTTACAAAGTATTTTTGGTATTAAAACCTATTTTTACACTTTCCTAGTGTTTTGGCCTCAGTTTGGTGGTTAATTATTTATCCATAGCTGGGGCCCTAACAGATGCTACCACCCTTGGTCAGGTTAGACCTGGGAACACCAGCAATTAAGAGGTAGTTCTAAACTCCTCAAAACCTCCTGATTAGAGGCCTTGCTGTTGGACATAGTTTATTGTCTTACCCAGGACACTGATGTAGTTTATCGTCATACCCAGGACGAGAAACCTCTTGTATTTTCCAACTAAATTATCTGGACTTATTACACAAATCTATAAAAAGAACATATGTGAAAGACTATATACACTTAAATTATTCTTTGTTATGTTGGATTTTGATCCATATTTGATCTACATTTGACCCCAAACTTGTAATTTTACTCAGTATTACTATCATTTATGACTCCAATGCCACATAACAGCCAGATAATAAATAATACTCATTCTGCTGTTTCCACAACTTGTTTCTCATTTTTATGAGTATTTTTGTATCTATATAATTAAGGGGGTTTATAATCATTTATAACTCCCCTACAAAGTTATTTTATGAATAATTTTAGTCATGATTTTTGTTTTGATTTCTTCCAGGTACGAAATGGATCATTTCATCATCCATACACTAATCCCAAGGCCACTGTTCATATCGTCACTGGTTCAGCAGTAAGTAGAATTGGTTTGATTATTTTCTCATGTTTCTTTTACTTAAAACTGAATTTTGTTAATCTAAAAAAAAAAAAAAAAAAAAAAAAAACTAGCAGCTACTAGCTTGAGTATTTCCATGTGTTTACCTTTGTACTTGAATCAGTGTAGTAACTGTTCTTTTTTCTCACCTATCACACTGATCTTATGTTTGGGTAGGTCTTAGCAAAAAATGAGGTGAGCTCATCCCCAGGGATTTTTGATCAAGGGTCAGTGACGCATGGTTGAGGAGGATTGGAGTATTTTGACATCTTTGAGAATGGTCAAATATTTTTTTGTCCCCAGTTTTGGGTGTGGGCATTGTCACACTAATCCATGTGTCATATTCCTACTCTTGTAGGAATGTCTGGGTTTCTAATTTCAGTTTTCATTGAAATATTAAAGCACACTCTTTTTCACTTTGTAACTGGTACTTTTTCTTTTTTCTTTTTTTTTTTTTTCTCTCTCTCTCTCTCATTCATTATTATTATTATTATATATAATAAAACCCTTTAGGAAGAGTCTCTCTGGACTAAAATAAGCTACTAAATTAGTTTTGAAAAAAGCATATAACCCCCAATTTTTAGGGAATTTTCAAAACCTAGAGAGCGACCTCAACATTTTGTGTGTGTGTGATCGTTTTGTGGTAATATTAACAATATAAACTGAACATGAGAGTGACAATGTTTGAAAGAAAATAAGAAATACAAGGAAACTTATTATATTTACAATCAGAATGAGACAGCTAAAATTTCTGGGATACATAATGAGGATAGAGAGTCTATAAAATTTAACACTCACAAGATATACGGAAGGCATGAGGAGTAGGAGAAAACAGTGAGTAACTCATCCGATGAGTTATTGAATGGATGAGAAAACAAGGACAAAAAGGAGTTAAAAATTACTTGGAGCAACAAAAGACAGAAATTTGTGGAGAACCATGATCTTCCCTGTTCTGAAAGGACTTGGCACATAAGATATTCTATTGGGATTATACATTTGAAACAAAGGCCAGAGAATGAAACAGCCAAAACATAGTTCTTATTGTAGGAGGTTGCTTACAGTACAGTGTTCCTAACAAAGTTTAGTGCAAATGTAAATAATATAAATAACACATGGGCAGGTTATCAAGTGGTTAGAATGTTCGCTTTCTGACCATGAGATTGTACATTTGGAACAAAGGCAGGAGAATGAAACAGCCAAAACGTGGTTTTCTTAGCTTATAAGATCTGTAGTTTGAGTTGTTCTTGAAATAATAACAACTTTGTTACAAAGGTAAAATTTCATTTCACACCTTCTCTTTTTTTTTTATTTTTATATTTTTGGGAAATTGATTTATAAATGCAATGCAAAATAATTATTAGTATTTTTTTATTTTAATTTTTTTATTTATTTTTTTTCCAGGGTAATCAAGAAGCCCAGGATCCTTTTAAGCATGTCGATCATCCCTTTAGTGTTTACCACTCGGACGATTATGGATTCACCATGATGTATGTTCACAATGTAACACATATCCATTTACAACAAGTGTCAGATGATAAGGTGAGTAAATGGTAATGATAATATTAACCATTTCCTTGTAAAGAAACATTTGGCATTCATTGACTGACCAACTACCATTTTGTAATTTATAAAATTTTTCTATTGAAATATCTTCTCGAGAAAATAGGTTTCACAAGTAACTGTTATTGCTCTTTCCAGTATTGATGAGAGTTGCCTTCCTAACCTTTTGTTTTTGTCAGTGTGGAACATCAACATCTTGATTATGTTATTATTCTCTCTTCAAGTTAGATGTGATATACATTTTAGTTGTTGAAAGTCTTCAAGTGATGTCATTTCTTTTATTTGGTACAGTTCTTTGTGATTCTGTGGCACTAATTTCCCTTATATAAACTATCTATTCATGATTTTTTACTAGCATAATTTTTTTTTTTTTTCTTTAATTTTCTGACTTTGTTTTAAAACAAAGTTGAGTGGTTAATATTTTAAAATATAGGTCAAGGTTATTTTAACTGTCTAATTGAACCAAACACTCCCATTTCTACCACCTTTTAAATCTGAAATGTCCTCCTTATTCTCCTTCCTCTGACTTTTCCTTTTCTTTTTATATTTTTCTCTGTTCCTTTATTCCTCTAATCTCTGTTCCTTTATTCCTCTAATCTCTAGATTCTCACTATAATATTGAAAATCTATGTAAACTTATGTCTAGACATTTATTCTCTTTATTTTTCTTTTTTTCTGTTTTCTTTTTCTTTCTCCCTTCCTTGTCTTCTTTTACTTTTTAAATGTTTAAATTTTAAGCTCTTATCTCATTCCCTAACATCTCTGAATTGATAAGGTCCACAAGAAAATCTGTGGATCAAAATAGCTATTTTCTGAATGACAGTTTAGGATTTTTAATTTCTGTATATTTTATGTGCTCTGTTATAATAAATACATTGAGCTCTTTTTGTTAATCAGTTTTAATATTTCATATTATTAGGATTCCTTTGGATTATTATTATATATATATATATATATATATATATATATAATTTTTCTTTTATATTTATTTATTTATTTATTTTTTTATTTTATTTTTTTTACAGGGTGGCAAAATAATTGATGACTTCTGGGTCATTAAAGAAAAAGTTGGAGCCCCTAATTTCAAATGCAAGAAATTACGTAACTAAGCATGAATAATACTAGTCTTATTTTCCTGAGACCAACATTTGATGAACAGTGTTTCCGGTTTATTTTATAAAAGTGTTTCTTTCATTTTCACTTTTTTTTTTCTTCATACAAAGAAATAAACATCGAATAATTAAATTTTTAATTAATTTTTTAAAAGTTTAGAATAGGTACCAGCTTCTCTTAATCACTTTTATTTTGAACATTGACAAGTTTTACCCTAAAATTGAATAATTTTTTAAAATTTTTTAACCATTAATAAAAATTGATAATAAATTTGATTTTAATACTAATTATTTGAGGGTAGTAGTAAGCTGCCCTCAAATTCTGACAACTCTAAACATGCTCAGTTTGAAATAAATCTTCATGCATATTTAAAAATCTAATGGTCCCTAAAAAAAAAAAAAAAAAAAAAAAATAGAAAACAAGGGTAAAAAAAAAAGGAAAGTCTAGATTGTAAAGGCTTGAGAAAGAGCTCCATTCTTATATACAGCAGGCAAGTGAGGTGTCATTTTGAAAACAGTGCTTGTTATTAAAGATATAAAAATTACATCCTATAAAACTTAAAACCTCTGTCTGACTTACATTGGTCATATATGAACACAGTAATATGGAAAAAGTATTATGATTGAATAAATAAAATTAGCTTTCTACTTTATTATTCTTAGGGTTTTATATTAACACTTATCCCCACAAAAAATAACTTTAATTTGATGTATTGCCTAAAGATGAGTCATTGGCTGTGATTTTATCAACACCAGTCTTGAGGCAAAAATCCAGATGACCAAAAAAAATATATAATTATTGGTTTATGCTTTTAATATTATTGAGTAAAAGACAAAATTATTCTTAAATTGGAATAAATGACTTAACTAAATAAATTGATACTTATCTTCCAGTTTATATCCAATAAATATATTTGTAGGTTAATTTTAAAAACTATTCATGCCATCATTTAATTTCAGATATTCTCGGGCTATTAAAATGCACAATTATATAATTAAGATACAAGTCATAGTAAAAATTAAATTCTGTGTTCATGTTTACTGAAAATATATTACCTATCTATATTTCTGAGATGTGGTGTTGTGACTATTAACCCTATTTACATTATTCTGACTGTTGTCCTCATCTTTATTGTAATATGCACAATGTTTCAGCCATTGTACGCTCAAGCCTTCTGGGCCATGTGTCCATAAAAGCATTGGTTGAAGTAATCCAAAAAGTGACTTCACCCAAAGAGTTGTAAATTCAATACCTGGTCACAGCAGAGGTAAACAAATTTGGAAGTTAAGTTACTAAAGGGAAGTAACTAAAAATGAGATATCTGGAAAGGGAATATGTGAAACTGGAACAATCTACCACTATGGACTAAATAAAGGGTTCAGTTTGAAATTCCAGCATATATCACATGAAGAAGGCCTCAGTGTACAATGCCCAAAATGTTGTGAATATAACAATAAAGATGAGGACAACAGTCTGAATAATGTAAGTAGTGTAAGTAATATTGCTTCTATTCCATAATACATTTGTTTATTCTTTCTTCGGATTATTGGCAACACTTGTTAATAAATATTACTATCTGTCCCATAATAATTGTTACATTTGACGATTTTTCTTTGGATTATTGGCAATGCTTATTAAACATATGTCCTAGCAGCAACTTTCTTATTTTTAAAACTTACCATTGTAGTTTTGAAGCAAAGTATTCTAAGGTGTCTTAAATCAAACTATTTTAAGGTTAGTAAAAATTGAACTACATCTGCTGTGTTTATTTCTGGTATAAATTACCGGTAGAAATTTAAAGATAGGAGGCAAAATGATATTTAATATAACTAAGTTGTCTAAAATTAGGTATATAAATAAGGATAATGTGGTGCTTGGAAAGAGAATAACTATCTTGGTTATCTCCAATGCCCCATGATAGGCACTAGTATATCCATGATATACTCACACTTAACACAACAGAAGACAAGATGAAAATAGCTGAAAGAAATGAATGCCAAATATACCATGTAATCAAAAAGATTTTATACATGGATATGTCCTACAAGAAATTATATACAAATATGTATATACCTGTCACTATTTGTCCTACAAAGACAAACTGTAGCACATATGGATAAAGCAAACAGTGTGAATGGGTGAAAATCAAGAGGGTCTTACTTGTAATATTTCTCAAAGGGGAAAAATGGCCAAACTGATGGTGTCTTTACTGTTTCTTGTTGGGACATTTGTTCTCCTTACTGCCACAGACTACCATGTTTTTCTTCCTGTTGGTCTACACACTCACTGGAGATCATTATTCCCTGAGCTGACATCACTCACAGGCTGTCATTTGACCCTCATGGATCTGTCCTGCCAAAAGGGAGATAATCTCCGTTTGCATCCCTACAAGGATATATTTGACATACATCACTATTTTAAATGCAAAAAAAAAAACATGCTTAAATGGAAATTAAATTATTTAATCATATGAATGGTTCCAATTATTGACTTAATAATTTCCTTTTCATTTTAACAACTATTTTGGGACAAATTTCATGCACAAAATGTAACAACTATTATGGGATAGACGTAATATTAACCTAGAAATATTATGACATTTGATCAATTATTTGTTTATCCTTTTAAATAACAGGAGCTGTTATTACTCTTTACAATAAATAAGAACTTAAGTGATAAATATTATTTGAATATTGTTCATAAAGCAACCAAATTTTACTCTTCATGATTTTTTTCTTCCTGCTAATTCCAAATTTCTGGTTGGTAGCTTTTTACCAAAACTGTAAATAATAAATTGTCCCTTGGACTATTAGGTCTTTGAGTTTATTTCCAATTTCTTTCTTCTTCTACATTACTCTGCTTTCCAGATGAAAGTTAGTTTAGTATAACAAAAGAAAAATCAATATTTAACTCTAATTAATAATGCAATACTTAATACTACAATTCTGTCATAGAAATACTAAAACATAGAAATACTAATTCAAAAAGGATTTAAAAAAAAAAAAAAATCAAGTTTTTAGTCATTATTAAAATCACAGTTATTTTGTTTTGTAAATAACAATATGAGATGTTCTTTAAGATAACAAAAAAAAAAATTAAAAAAAAAAAATTTTACATTTATTATCAATTTAATATTTTATTTCAAAATTGTTTAATCATTCCTAAGTCTATGACTACTCCAAATATTATTTTTAGGTTACCCATGTTTGAGTAGACTCCTTTTTTTTTTTTTTTTTTTTTTTTTTAAACAGTGTGAATTCTAAGCTCTGCTGGAGAGCACATTTTCTTTAAGTCTCTCTAATGCACAGACCATAATTTACACTATTTAAAAAGTGAAAAAAAAGAACAAAATATAGGGTGTCTACTCAAACATGGGTATCTACAAAATAATATTTGGAGTATTAGGAAATACTGAGGGATTAAAAAAGTTTCTTGATTCCTTAGAAATTACTTTGGATACAAAAAAAATTATGATATGGGCTTTTGAAAAGATCTGAATGAGAGGATGTGTCTTTAAAAAGGGTACTTGAACCTTATTGGGCTGTGATGCTCTCTGTGGCCAAGTGGTCTAGGGAAATGCAGGTTCAAACCCTGCTGGAGCCACATTTTTTTTATTTTATTTAGCCTCTTGAATGTTCAACCAGTATACATAATTCTCACTGTTTAAGAATGAAAACAAAAAAAACCACAAGGTATCTACTCAAACATGTGTAACCACAAAACATTCGGAGTAGAAAATGTCAGATAAAAAAATCCATTTATTCCTTAGAAATTCCAAGATTTTCAAGCATTCAAGCACAATTTTTCTTTTGGTCTGAAATCTGATGATTTAAAAAAAAGTAAATTTAGCAAGCATGGACCTTTTGTGGCCAAAATAAGATGGAGTGTGAAAAGGACTGTTTTTCGCATGATACCACTTTTAACTGCCTTCACTCTTTGTCAATTTTTATTGTTTTAAAAAGCAATGATTTAGAATTGTAATAAAACCTAAACATATGAAAGTGAATTTGTACATTTTCTTTGTTCTTGAGAATTTAGAACAAAAATAATAAACACTATTTATTTATTGGATTGTTTATTTACTCTATTTTTTATATTATTTATTGGAAGGGTTGGCAAAACATCAGCTAATTGCCAATTGATTCAAATTTCATAAAATGGTAAATAACAAGGATTTGCTTATAGTTGGTTCACATATTTTAATAATTTAGTAAATGTTTATAAATTTATGAATGAAAATTGTTTTCATATTTATTTCTTTATAAATTGGTAAATGATAAATATTGCATTACTTCTAATTGTATTAGTTTTTTAGAATGTTGTAAATATAAAATTATTCTTGTAAATAGTGTTTAATGTTTTTATTGTAAATTCTCAAGAATAAACAATGTGTAAATTCACTTAAGTTTTATTCTAATCATTGTTTTTTTAAAATATTAAACATTGTCAAGGATTAAAGGTAGTTTAAAAAATCAGCGTCATAGGAAAAAACGTCCATTTGACACTACGTTTTATTGTGGGCATATTTGTCTTTTTATTTACACTGTTTACAATGTTCAGACTGTTATCCTCATCTTTGTTGTTATATTCATGATGTTTCAGCCATTGTATGTTCCAGCCTTCAAAAATGAGGATAACAGTCTGAAAATTATAAATAGTGTAAATAATTATAATACCTCATCTCAGAAATGTAGACAGATATTGTCCATGTTTGAAAATTTAAAAGGAATTTTAGACTCTATGACCTTTGTTGTATATATTTACTACAATGTTATGAGTAACCTCAATATTGGTTAGTCATATGGATTGTGTGTTGAATGAAAGTTTTGTTGGTTTCATTCAGAAGAGATTTATACCAATTTTAGAATATTGATCACAGATTTTAAAATCAAATCCTAATTGAATCCTGACACAAGTAATCACCAATTGATTGACTTTGGTTTTGCTGACTTGGTTTTTTGGAGATGGTACAAAGAGGATTAAATTCTTGTTATAA